AGTAAAAATACTATTTCTGGAACAGAGTACTCATTTTTAGTTTTAAAAAGTAATAATTATGTTCGAAGACTATCAGAAAATGTGGCCTCAGGGTGTTCGGAAAATTGCCATCAATTAATTTGTTGTTTATGTTCGCCCATTTTTAATTTCGTTATTGTTTTATCCAGAAGAAATAAATTATTTAAATAATTTGTTTTTAAATGCACTTCCTGGCAACACGCTCAACCGCTGCCCGTTCATGCTCTTCTCTTACTCGCATGTAAGTTTCTCAGGATACTGCTTTCCATTTTCTGGTTTCAGGAATATGCAAATCATGGTTGATTGAGAACACCTGTTCCCGAAAACTTGTTTTGGTTGAACATAACACAAATGCGAACATTTTATGGCAAGCACGTTTATCATGTGTACGGTAGAGAATGAAGAAATGAAAAGCGAATACAAATAAGAAAGAATTGTAATATTCAGAAATGCCTATTCGAAGTTTTTACGACAAACGTTCTTCATACTCAAACAATATTCTTCCTTCATATAATTCTTATAAGTCTATATAATACTTGGCACGTTGATACCGTTGATTGATTTTTCCGTAGGACTGATCTAGATTTATTGATTACAGATTTCTGATTTCTTTCAGTGCTATTAAAATAAGACCTTTCAGGATCGGCTTCTGTTTAGCAAAGAGACAGTAGTATGCAAGTGCCAAACCTGGTGACTAAGTGAAGGGTGGGACAGAAAACTGTGACAATTTTCTTTGCTAGAAAATACTTCATGACAATGAAATTGTGAGAAGGTGGCCAATGGTATATCAGATACGAGTTATTCATTTCATATTTTTAGATTTTTACTTCCTTGTACGAAGTAAAAAAGAAGTATTGTAATCGCGAAAAGCTTCAGGCAGCATATTTCAACCAAAATATCCACTTTGACCGCTTTCGAATGCAATTTAACGATGTTTTTGCGTGATATCTGTACGTAAGGAAGAATAAAAGACTCTTTTCCTCCAAAAAGCTAAAAAACTGCTTTAAAATGAATTCTGAAGAGAATTTTTCGTGGCGTCTGTACGAACGTATGTACGTACGTGCGTACGTACGTATCTCGCATAACTCAAAAACGAGTAGCCTCAGAATGTTGAAATTTTGTATATAAGACTACTATAACATGTAGATGTGAACCTCGTATTTTGGTTTCAATCGGCCGCGCCAAGCGTATATAAATATATTATAAATATATATCCACTCTGTTACCTGGCTCAGTGATCTCAGTTTCTTTACTTTTATATGTTTGTAAATTGTACATTTTAGATTTACATAATAGCGTATATAAATTTTAGCGTATATAAATTTACATAATAGCGTATATATATTTTACATAATAGCGTATATAAATATATTATAAATATATATCCACTCTGTTACCTAACTCAGTGATCTCAGTTTCTTTACTTTTATATGTTTGTAAATTGTACATTTTTTGCTTTAAAACGATTGAATTATGTTGTTTTTATCTTCCGGTTGTGCCTTTAATAAATCTGTATATATATTTTTAGAATTATCAACAATTTTAAAATTGTTTAAGTGCCGCTAAGCCTAATTTGATGGCGGCCATTAATGTTTACATTTGAAACAGGAGACTAGCGGATTTGTTGCCAATCTAGAGAAACTTAGCTTCGCAAAACAAAGATAACGCATTCATTTATTATTGCCAATTAAATCATACTTAATCTTTCTTGACTTTTTTCGAGGAAACAAGCGTTTAAAATTTACTTCGTAATTTTTAATACAGATATTTTGAGTTTTTATGCATTTTTGCCTTGTCGCGAAGTGATAACGGAATTAATTGAATGAGAAATACTCAATCGTCTGTGAAAAACTGTTTCTTTTTTGTTTTGTTTGCTTAATTTCTTTTATACATAGTTCTAGCTTTATTATAGTATTTGAATAGAACATGTGGCAACGATTAGATAATTCTTTAAATGTTATAAATTTTGTGCATTCAGAGTTATAATATGAACGAAATATAATGCTGTTAAGTGAAGCTAGCGCCAGAGTGTCGCTATGGTAAACAAAGTGAATTTTAAAGAATGCATTTATGCGCTGTCGGCGAAGCAGGTTTAATTCAATCTAATAAGTTTAAATAAATTGCAAGAAAAAATGCGTATAATTTATTATTCCGTACAAGGAAGTCATGTGGTGTACACATCAGATTTTTTAGTTATTAATTTATTAACACATTGAGTTTTCTTCATAATTTTACTTACCTTCTATCCCTTAGGAACAAATTATTTTGGAATTATGGTTTTCCATTAAAAAATATAAAAAAGATCCCCAACATAATCTTGTTTGAAGATTTCTGAAGTTTCTTTGGCAACGAAAGTTGTTCTGTCTGAGAATCATAAGCAAAGCATCAAGTTTCATCTAAGTCAAAACGTGTTTGGATTAAATTACGATGTTAAAAATTCTGTTTTGCAGCTAATGCGTCTGGGATGAAACAAGAAGTTTCCGTTTTTCAAGATCTTCCAGAATAATTTTGTGGCTAGTGTTTTTGCTGATGTTAATCTCATCAGCTATTATTCGAAGCAATGAACTACGATTTCAAAGAAACAGGTATCAAACACTTCCAATGTTCTTATCATTTGAGAAGGACGACCACAGCTGGTTTCGTTATTAACATCTTCTCATCCATCATTAAATCCTTTACACAAGCAAAAAATATTGGATTATGTCAATGTGTGATTCATGTATGCTTTACACAACATTTCAAATATTTCGCTGAAGTTTTTCCGCTCTATAGCAAAATAGCAACATTTTCTTTTAGTTTTCGGATCCAAGACAAAGATGCGCATTGGATCAACGTAAGTAACGAACTATGTAGAAAATTCTGTTCATAAGTTGAAATATTTTAGGAAGGAAATTGAAATATCTTATTAAGAAATGCTTTGTAGAATATATTACGAGAATAAATTCTAAAACTGCTTATAGATGCACTATATGTAATAAAGAAATTAGATGCTTTGCTTTACCATCAGCTATTATAATAATAAAAACATATTCAGTATTTTAAAAGGTGTAAGGAGAATAGGGAGTGGTTAGGATTTTCATCAATATCGCAATCATATTTATAAATTATTGTAAAGCAAAAAAAGCTCATTAAAGAAAAAAAATATAGGATATTTAAAACGAATAATATATAGAATCTCGATTTATTCTTCTTTGTGATCTTTGATATTGCCAATATATCAGCGGCAACCTTAAAAAAGATTTTATCTGCATCCTAAAATTCATTTAAATTGTTGCTATTATTTTGGTACTTATATTGGCTCTTATGTCATTCATTTTGGTTTCTAATAACGTACCTGCTTTAGCGTTAGAAGCGTTCTCAAGCCTGGTATGTTTAATCATATTTCGAAATTAAAACTAAATTATATTGCTTTACAAATTTTGCGTTTTGGCGAAAAGGCTAAATTTCACATGAGCAGAATTTAACAGGTAATTGAAAGCATTAAGAGAATAACTACTTCCAATTTATTCGACAAGAGAAGAAATTAAACATTTAACCTTAGATAGTTTATTATAATTTTGAAAAGCAATCAATTCTAATTTAATAACCATCTAACATTTTGAATATGTGTAAATTATTCTGAAAAATAAAGCAACGACAATCGCTCTTCATTCAATAGCATGCAGTTGTTCATTCCTGCCTAGTGTTTTACCTGTTTTTAGCAAATATACGTCTTTACTTCCTTAGCTCGTAAAACTTGCATATCGTGTTCTTTTGTTGAATAAACTATGGGAGTGTGATAAATGTTTCTTCTTACTCTCTGTGAAATTTATTCATCCAATAAATCGTGAACAATTTTACGTTTTCCTATAGATTATTATTACCCAGGTTCTGAAAATAATATAAGCAATATTCTAAATTTTTAAAATGTCAGAATCAATTATTTTTGTTTGAACGTTCTATTTTTTTTTTTTTTTGAATAGTACATGTAAATTACGTTTTTGCATAACATTCCTGTAATGATCCGATTAATACATTATACATCTTCCTTTAAAATATGCTTTTGAAACTTGCTGGCTTTGTACGTGCTATTCACACATCCGAAAAATAATTTGTCCTTGAAGTTACATAATTTGTATTGGAATATTGATTATATGGAAAGAATGTCAAAATTTATAATTGAAAATATCAAGGAAATTATCAATCAATTAACCAAAATTGAAAAATTTTGGCTTTTTGAATCTCAACGCTACCTACTTTACAATGTATGCTAGACCAAATAATAATTATTTATTTATTGTTTTCTTTCCACAATACCTTTGTCATATTTGTCTCATGCATCAGAAGGCATGTGTAATCAACATCTTATTTTCCTTTTGAGAAAAGAATTGTTAAATTACAAAGTTGTCTAAATGCGAGAACGGGCTAGCTGGAAAATTATTCTGAATTTTATCCAAGTACAAGAATTAAATGAAGCACAGTTCAATTTAAGAAAGAGTTCTTCAATTTTGGCTTTTTCAATCTCAATACCAAAATATGCTTGGGGCATCAGCCCCAAAGGTACGGTTGACCAAATAATTACGTTTATTGCACATCATCATATCAGCATAAGAAGGCTTCTATAAAGCAAAATCCTGTTTCCCTTTGAGAAAAGAACTGTTAAATTACAAAGATTAAAAAATCTTATATGCTAGAGCGTCTTATAGGCGGGCTAACTGGACAATTAACTTTTATCCAAATATAAGAATTAATTGAAGCGCAGGCATTCCTTGTGATTATCCAAAGGATTAAAATTATAGTATACCGATATATTTGTTTAGGATTGAATTCCTTGTGAACAAGTTAGTTATTTAAAAGTTTTTTCCATGTGCAAGGCAAATAAACAAATGCCCTCATCTACAGAAATTCGTTTCTGAAAGCAAGTCATTATAAGGCAGACATGTTAAAAATGTTCTGTCGTAATCAATTACCTAAACTACATATATAAGCTCAAAGTGACATACGTCATTCCGACTCCTTTCTGTGATGTTCAGCTGAGAAGGTCGTCTTGCATTCCTTGCCACAAACTCGGCTTCGCTTTCTTCATAACTCTGTTGACTTCCGAAACTGGCCGAACTCTCCAGTTTCCTTCTTGCCCTGACAGAGCCAACTGAAGATACCTCGGATTCTCGAGACCTGTTTGGATCACAATAAAAGGTTTTTGGCCTCTTCCGAAAGCCGGACAGAATATACTCCTCGTCATCTGTGCTACAGATGTCATCCTTGGAGCGAGTTTCGTCCGTCTCGCAAGTTCGGTCGGTATCGTAAGGGGTGGGGCTTCCAATTTCGGTGGGTGGGGCGTAAATATTCTCATCGCTGCTGGACCGTCGCTGTTGCTGGTGCTGAGATTTGTGCTTTTTCTTGTGGATACAGGAGAAGAGGATAGAATTCTTCGTACAAGGAGAGCTTTCTTGAGGATTTGGGAAGCAACCAAGGAACTTGAGGGAACGGGCGTTTTCTAGAACTTCGACCTGCAAGAAAAATAAAACGGATTATTTTCTATGATTCATTCAAAGTTCCCAATTTAGTAATTTGTTTCAAGAAAATGGAGATTTTACTTCTTTGAATATCTTGTGTTTCTTATAAAAAACACGTTACAATTGATAAAAAACATATTACAGAAAAGATGAAAGTCTGTTGTAAAAGACATTTTACGAGGATGTGTAGCGTTAAGTCAATGGTGCCCAACCTTTGGCCTATCGCAAGCACATTTCGAAAACATCAACATTTTTGTTAAACATATTTATAGTCTTATGTCATACATATTAAATATTAATTTTGGCAAATGGTTTTGAGATGAATAATAATATTGGTTGAACTTTATGGAAATCAGAGAAGCGGAGTTCAAAATTATTTTTCAGTGCATTTAGGATTTCCGAGTATTTCTCTGTTTCAATTGCCTTATTGTTATTAATATGGCTTGATAAATTCTGAAAAATGGGTGAAATTCGTTTCTTTCATCTGGTTTATCCACAAATTTAACTTTATCTGAAAAGCAGTAACAGTCCCAGTCAATTGAAAAAAGGTTTTTTTTCTTTTCCCTAGAGATCTTCGTTCAGTTTGCTCAGTTTAACTGTTTTATCCGTGAGAAAATACAGATCAGATAACCAATTATTATCGTGCAATTCTTTATAACTTTCCTTTCTGGATTCCCAAAACTGCTTTATTAACGAAAGAAGTTCTACAAATCGTTTAAGTACTTTTCCCCTGCTGAGCCATTCAACATCGGAATGAAGCAGTAACATTCCATGTTCGCTATCAAGTTCATCAGTCAGCAGTCGATTATTTATTTAACGTCTCGCAAGATATCTCTTATGACTTTAAATGCTTACCATATTTTAACAATTAAGAAATATAAATGAATGGTTAGTTTTAAAATATTTTTTGTTCATAATACCTAATCGGGCTGGCGAGCACATACAAAATGATCGGCGAGAATACTTGTGCTCGCAAGCACAAGGTTGGCACCGCTGACGTAAAGCTCTAGCTTATTTAACGCCCACACACTAATGCCGCTAATCTGCATTGGTATAAATATTTTCTACCGAAATACTGATAAAATCTGGAGCGGTAGCAACTATTCTTGGTATCTTGAAGAATTCTAGAGGATAAATTAGCAAGAAATCAGATATTGTTATGTCCGGAGACCAATAGTGCAAATTTTAAACTATCCAATGTTAAGAATCTGAATTTCTCTCTTTTTTCGCACAGAAGGAGAGAATTGAATTCTTGGAGAAATACAGATTGAAATGAAAATGTCAAAGTATGAACAATATTCACCTTCTGCTAAAACTTTCTCGTCGTATATGTACTGCTTACAAAAATTACAATAATTAAGTTAGAAAACGATAAGTACCCTTCATCCAATTTTCATTGCCGATGAGAAGGTTACCTTTTAGAACTCTACTAAAACGTTTCCGACTAAAACGTTAGCACAAAAACAGGAAAAAGTTACAAACCATCTGAACAGAAATTAACAACGACGTGCAGAACAAATATTTTCGAAATTTTGAGAATGAAGCATTTTATTGTAGTAAAATCTAATATCATTAAATTTTTGAAATGAATTTAAAAAATAAAATCATTTTTTATTATGATTCTTAATCATTTGCTTGGATAAATACCAAAAGGTTTACAAACTGGTTCCATAAGAAATTTGTCCCAGAAGTTAGTAAACTGTTTAACAAAAAGGAATTGCCAAAAATGCAGTTACTGAGAAGAGCCGAAGAAGTCCTACTGAACCATCTTTTCATGATAGAGAGTCAGATATTATTATGAAATTAAGGAATTCATAAGTTTAAATGCTATAAAAGGGATTATATTGAAATACATTTAACAGCTGAACTATAATTTAGAAAAGGAAAAAAATGAAAAATTGATTATTGATAATCTAGAAAGTTTGGATAGAGAAGAGTCTACAGCCTCGGATATTCTTGAATCATTAATGACGTCTTGGACTGACAAATGTAAATGAAGAAAAGGGGGAAGACTGGCTCGTAAATGACTATTGAGATTAAGGCTACAATCTCTCTTCAGCACAAGCTACTGTTTGAAATATTATTCAAGGAATAAATAAATTAGGGATAAGCAGTAGTTTTGTAGAGACATTAGGTAATTTGGAAGTAGGCAAGATGAAAAATGAGCTACCGCCTTCCCCAGGAATCGAACCGCGGACCTCTGGAATGCGCGCCCAGCGTGCGGACCACCACACCACGAAGGCATACCAAGAAGGCGGAAGAAATTGTTTGTGTGGATAAATAGCAAAGCCTCGAGAGGCTATCTGCCTAAGGGCAGGGATACCTTCGTGGAGGACATTCTAAGGGAAACTGGCTCGTATACACGTTACACATGGGGAAAATCACGAAAGCGCCCATGCAGCCAGCCCGTTTACTCGATTCGAACCTCGGACCGAACTACCAGTGTTCAGCGACATTACCGCTCTGCCGCTGGTGGGCAGAAGGCGAGAGAAATACCCTGTAGTTTAAATAACAACAGTGAGCTTCAGCAAACATCGGCGTATGTAGATAAGTTGCTGAACTACACTGATCAGCAAAGTAAATTTTAATTGAATGACATAATAGTTTTGTGTGATATTCAGTGTTTAAACATGCCTAATGAACCGCAACACGGCTCCCAAACAGAAAAATATATGACATTCTTCAAAAGAAAAATTGAAATATAATATTTATATTTTTTGCTTCGTTATGTCTACAAATATATTTGACAACTTTTAGTGTTTTAGTTAACTTACTGCTGTAAGCCCCGTGTTGTACATATGTGGTGCACGCGGAATCTGTATGTTTTCAAATAAATAAATAAAGCGAGATACGTTACTGCCTATAGTAATGATGAAAATTATGCAGATACATAAACAGATCAAATTAAAATTAAGAAACTAAAAATCTATGTCAAGTATTTTCAAATTTTATTTAAAATTATTTCATATATTATGCTTCATTTGTGTTACCTTTTGCAATTTTCTTCTTTATTAAGGCAGCGTTTCTTAGTCTTTTTAAAACTTTTCCTTAATCTTTTAATTGGAACACTTTTTAATGTCCATTTTTATCATGCAACCCCTAGTTTGCTGCAACAGTATGGATTCAATGCAACATTCTGTAAACGAGTTATTTGCAACAAAAATGACAATTATTTCAAATAATATTCATTTGCTTCAAAACGAAATTTAAAAATTTACCCAAAAGCTCTTTAAATAACGTGTTCAAACAGGATGTTTTAATTTTAATGAGATCAGTGGTTCTGCTTTTTATTATCGCAGATATACTTAATATTAAGTCTTATAGATGAAAGTTTAATTTTCATGTCAAGTTCGACATCAAGGTATGCTACGTCTGTTGCATCAATTCTTGTTTAATTTGTGTCGACACACGCAGCTAACAACTTCGTGTCATGTACTAGTTGCAAACAGTAAAAGTGCCAACCCAACGTTTTTACAAGTTACTATGTCCATTTTTTTAAAATGCACCAGAATTCCACTAATGACATAAATTTAAATGTTTCTTGCAACGATGAAGCGGATGTCATTTTAAACAAAAGTTTCGTATTCTTCTGCTGACACGGTCTAAAGTGGTGCATTGACTATAAATGGGATATTGGAGGCGTTAAGGCCACAAGAATCAGCGTAATATTCGCAAATGTGCAGTACTAATTTTAAAGGTTTAAAAATAAAACATTTTTCTTCATTACAGAAGTGCAAAAAATGCCTTTTTTGGACTCTTGTAACTGAGGAAGAGGGTTCTGTATTTAAACTTTCCAAACTAGTCCTGAAAATTTACAAATATTGCGCTAATTCTAATTGCCTTAAGCCCTCCAATAATCGTTATTCATGTTATCTCGTCTTAAGTAAATGCATTTTGATTCCAGAATTCATTTTGATATTTAATCTGCACCTCATTACGGAAATACTTATTAAAAACTTCACTCAAACGTTTTAGTTGCTGAATAATTTCTTCAATAAATGTCTATCTTATTTTACCGCCTTTCTTTGCTGAAGAGACTTCTGTTATTCGGAAATAGTCAAGCGCACACAAATCATCCAAAATTCTATTTTTTTGTAGAAAGTAATAATTTCTTTCGTGAGCAGTAAGTACATTTACTTGTTTACCCTTAAAATTTTAATGAGATTTCAGATAAGTTAACCCTTAACATTTTAATGAGATTTCACTGATCTTTGTAAAAATGCCCCTTAAATAGGCAGTTTTGAGCAGTTCATTTCCATCAAATAATCGACTTTTCTAGTCGAAATTGCACTCTAAAAAATAAAATTCTTTTTTTAAGTATATATACTCTGCAAAACTTACACTTTTAGGTTCATATTTTTACAAGAATTTTCAAAACAGTAATTAATCTTTATTAAGAAAAATTTTGAATAGAATGAAAATTAATTAAGGTAAAAATCATTTGATGTTATTTTGAGATTCTTATTTATCTTTTAGAATTTCCTTGTTGTTGTTGTCTTGTCCGTGAATTTATTGGAGGGCTTAAGTCAATTAGAATTAGCGCAATATTTGTAAATTTTCAGGACTAGTTTGGAAAGTTTAAATACAGAACCCTCTTCCTCAGTTACAAGAGTCCAAAAAAGGCATTTTTTGCACTTCTGTAATGAAGAAAAATGTTTTATTTTTAAACCTTTAAAATTAGTAAAGAGTGGTTGCCACCTCAAGGAGGCTGAACTTTTACTTCCAACCTAATTTGAGGGAGAACAAGGTGGTCCAAGGGTCTTCCACCAAACCACACGAGAGAACTTTTGGCTCGCCATTATTTGTAGTGCCCCATGCCTCAAAGACTCTATACCATTACAAACATTCATTCCTTCTCCGGGCCCTTCGGTATAGTACCCTAACCACTATACCGTCTGGGAGTGGCTAGAGTTTCCTTACTAATAAAGATACCATTTGAAACAAATTAGTAAAATTTAGCTCTGATCATAATTGTTATGTTTTATTACGAAATT